CTCCCGCGCTGCTCCCGGCAGCGAGCGCGCCGGCGCTCGGGCCTCGCCTGCGCACCGCTAAACCTACAAGTTATACATTTTATCTTTTCCTTGCTGCAAAGTCCGAGCTCGCTTAGTTTGAAAAGTGAAAGCTTAGACTTTTAGGATTTTTCTTTTCCCTCGCCGTGCTGCAACACAGGGGCCAGAGCAGCAGGGCCTGGAGGGTTGCACCGATGCGCTCCTCTGCGGACGAGGGGTAGGAGCGCATCTGAGTTGGCCCTGTACCTTATGAAGGTGCCTTTGGGAACCTCTGTCCGCATTTTGCCTGAAGGTCTGGTGAGGTTTCTTGGAAAATACTGTTATTCTTGGCCCTTGGTTAGAGCTGAAGGACGGCGTCCGGGAAAGAATTCCAGCCTTCCCGAAGTAAGGCCGCAAAGTCTTCATGCAGCCTGGTTTAACTCTGTGATTATGGCAGCCCGCTTAAATGGGATAGAAAGAATAAACCTGCCGGAGTACTCCCGAGACCTCAGTCCATCCCTCCCCCCGACCCATCCACCCAAGCCCTGGAGCCTCTGGGCTGTCCCCGGCCGGCCGGCATGGCGCCCGCCCTCCTCGCGGGGACCTCGGCGGCTCTGCAGGGTGGCAGTCCTGCTGGAAACGCCGCTCAGCAACAGCAGCACGCACGGAGGGGTGAGCGGCATCCTCCTCTTGCTGCGTTTTCACACCCTCCGTTCTCTTGATCGGTGAAGGAAAGCCCTGTGCCCAAGAACATTCACCTCAGCCATTTGTGCCGCTTCCAGGCGGTAGGAGCGCAGACCCCACCTCTAGGCTGGCAGCTGGGTCACCGGGTTGCTCACTGGGCCAGCGTGAGGCACGATGATCGTGATGGGATTTTTTTCAATGTATTCAAATGTTCAAATTCAAAACAAAAGTGAATTTACTGGAGAACTCAAATATAGTGCAAGCTACCTGCATAATTATACCACTTTCCTGACAGAGGAGTGTCAGCGAAGAGCAGAGGACCTACCACCCGTACTCTGATCCCATTCACACCAAGGGCCAGCTGACGTCTGATGGGTGGGAACCCCCGTGAGCCCGTCCCACGAAACATCCAGGTCCCCAGCGGTGGGAGGAGGCACATGAGACACACCTGAGCTTCAACCAGAAAACAGCCCGACTCGCCCCCAGAAGCACCAGCCTAGAATCCAATCAGAGATTCAAGTGTAATCCTCCCTTCTCAAATTCAGATGAGAAGTTCTGATTTGGCCCACCTAAATTATACTTGTGTCTGTCGGGAGTTACTCTACTCACAGAACTGGAATTACACCTGTGGAGAAAAAAACAAACAGAGATTCACATCAGAGCCATGATTAAGAAACGGCCGGTCTTCTTATTTGCACTCTTCAGTTCTACGTGTGTGTCCATCGTTCCCGTGACTGCTGAAGGATGGTATCCCTACTTGCTTTGTGCCTCTTGCCAAAGGCTCCAACTCTCGGTGACACCAGCTATAGCTAAACGCAAGACTGGCAGTGCCAAATTTCACCGTTTTTCATCTTAGTGACACTGGAGTGAATTTGGCTTAAGAGACCCCACTGGGGCTTTTGGGTTAGGAGATTCCATTATCGCAAAGTGTCTTTGCTATAGAAAGATTTCGTGCTGTTTGAACTATACAGGTATAATAAATGATACCTGTCTAATTAAAGCAATAAAAAAGCAATAGTAAGGGCTCCAGTTGCAATAGTTGAGAAGGGCTAGTATCCAAACAGTTTGTTCTTGTACAGAAGAGGGAATAAACATACTAAAGATGGCAGTGTATCGTTAGATATTGTACCCATTACAAGAACTCTCCCACCTCTAATCATCCAGGCCAAATATTTGCTATTTTTTTTTTCCTCAGGGCTAGGCAAAGATTGGAGGCATAAAGGTGCCTCTAACAGCCCTGCCAGTGAGCACTTTGGTCCTTACGTCGTATCCTGTAGTAGTTACAGACGTTGCAGATGTAACAGAATGCAAATAAAACATCACATTAACCATTAGCTGTCTTCAGGAAAACATTTTCTTGGCACGCATCTAGCTATTTCCTCTTGGTTATTTAGTTCTGACTGTTGAAAGTACACAAGATCAGGGATGGCATAATAAAAACAACACAGAGGATTTCTGGGAGCTTGCACTAGTAGGGTTCAACTTTGGCAAATAATAAAAGCAAGAGCAAAAAAGAACCCCCCCAAAGGCAATGACCAAAACTCAACTGAAAAAAGTGACAAAAAATAACTTTATTGACCAGCCAGAATGAATCCAGATGAAGTGAACGACATGACTTAAGTGGTGCAAGCCATCAGTACTCGCACGTCTGACGCACAAACAAGGCTTCCAACTCGCTGTCCTTACCCCAGGAACGCTGCATCTGGGTAAGTTTTGCAGGGCTGAGACTCAAATTTATGTTCAAATTTTTTAAAAATATAATTTTTATTTGTTCATTGTGAATAGATTAAAAATACAGCATATAGCAATATCATTCCAAAAGTCTGTCAAATACATATTCTCTTCAAGAGTGTCATAAAATAAGTTGCGCATATTTCTGTAAACCAGTTTCGTTTTTAAATCATTCAAACTCCTACTGACCGTATAGCTAAATATGATACCACCTTACTACAGAAGGCAGTTTACGTCATTAAAAAAGTAACATTTACAATAAAAATATTAATCATATTTTTCCAAGCATTTACACACCAGGTCTAGAGAGAACTGTCAGCAACTCTCGCAACTACAGAACTTAGCAAATTAAACTTTGTCAAAGAGTTTCAATAATTATACTCAAAGTCCTTTACTCACATTTTGGATGGACACAATCAATCTCCTCTCCTCCCTACAAGGCTGGCAGGGTTGTAACACACGTGCTTCTTTCTTAAAGCAAATCTCAAAGACTTGGCGTCAACACCTTACAGGGAAAACAAATCCTTTGTCTGGGTGTGTTATAGTGCCTGCACTGTATCAGTCCTGCACAAAACCCTCTGACTGTTCAACTGTCTGCAGAGAGGAAGGGCAGGAAGGACACGTTTACCTTTCATCGAAAGCTGCTACTTTAGGGCTATGAATTGAAAGAGCAAAAGGTCACATCCAAAAGAGGCGTTAGGCACCTAAAAACAGAACTGTGGATAGGCACTTAAAGCATTCACATACGTTGCGATCCTACAAATTCCGGTTCAATTTCAGCATCTTAGGTCCAAAGAATTTGAGTACTTTAGTACCTAGCTTATTATCTACCTAAGCCCAGTTGAGGTCTAGAAATCAGACATTCCTCCCTAATGGGTGAAAAGCTTCACCTAGTATCTGACACCCTCTCCGGAACAGGCTCCTCTCCTCCCCAGAAAAAGAAGTTATGAACATTTCTTCCCCTCGTCCCCTCCGTTATACAGCCAGAAGACATGGCAGCTGCAAGGCCACTCATTGCAAAAACTCCCCAGTGGTTGAAGCACCTACCCAGAAGCGTTAGATCCAAGATCATTTTTCTTCTCTTGTAGAAAGGGTTCAAATCTTTCCATCTCACTTCCTTAATTACCAGCCTATTACCTCTTTCAGGCAGTGACAGTTGTTACTGCCGTAAGGACGGGCTACCAATTAGAAAAAGTAACTCAAGATCCTCTTGCCAGAAAGAGAGTAAAATAGGGTGCACACCTTTGGAGCCCAGTGACCGCATCAGTCACAGGGGGAAGTCAGTGGGAGAACTGACTTCTGCTCCCTGGACTGCTTCTGCGTTTTCCAACTGGATATGCATAAAAAGGGTCCCACTGGTATCAACTGCACTAACCGTCTGCTTAATTTTAAGCTTACTTATTTCTAGCTTTACTAGACTGAGGCTGGTGAGCGTTAACAATCATTCAGCACTCCATAGCGGCTGCCCCTTATTCACACCAGTCTAACATCCTCAGGGCACTGCATGGCCAAGAAGGCAGAAAGATTGAATCTTCCTCTCCTACAACACTACCGTTAACCCAGACCAAGTAATAGGGCCAGCTTCCCTAACACCTGTATAGATGGTGCTGGGGCTTTGGGATATAATACTGAATTTGAAAGAAAGCTCTCTCTGTGTAATGATAATTCAACCACCGTGGTGTATTTGTCTTCCCATTACTGGTTTAGGAGCATGTAAACAGGATACAGAAATTCAAGTGTTTGGGAATAATAATGTTTTCTCCTTGTAACCAGCAAAAGCGCCTTTTCTTCTAACTGACATTTACAACAATTCTCAGTCTCTTGTGAAGAGGAGAGGTCTTTTAGGAAATTTAGTTGTAAACCGTAAGAGAGGATGCTAAAACGTAGGTGCAAAACTCCAGAATATGAATCTCTAATACCACAGAAAATCAGCTTTGTACGATAGGGTAGTATTTAGTAAGTTATCCGGTATAATCTGGAAGTTCGTAAAGCTATGTGTATATTCTTCACTGATCAGCTCAAATCTATCAAACAGTATCATGTGAAATGACTTCCTGAACCATGAGACAGCAGATCAGACACATGAAATTATTTAGACTAGATAAATTATTTTCTATACACAGAAACAGGTGAATAAACATTCTCTAGACTTTTCAAATGTCCCTCTAGAAATGGTGGGAAGTGAATTCTCATTTTAAGTGAGAGGATCCAGCTTTGCTGCAAATTGAGATGGCACTGTAAAAATAACTACATACTACGAATATGTTACAGATCCTGTTACTGTACATCATTGGACAAAAAAATCATTATGATTTTATACAACTAGGCTATTATATGGCACAAATGTTGAAATGAGAGGGGTAGCTGGATGCCTCACCTCATCAGAACCATTAGTGATGTTCTGATCATAAAAATATGCACTGCTGGTGATGAATAAAACACATATCCCACCCTGAATATCCAGGGTGCCAATTAGAAGCAACTTTTTTTATTTTCAAATTGTAAAGATTAGATCTAGAATTGGTTTGAGAAGAATATCAACAGAACCAAAGAACACTAGCTTGACAGAATGGGACCACTTCTTATGAGCGGTCGCATGCTTTACATGCTTAAATTGAAAATATACATTTACATGCAAAGGACAACAACTAAACTTGAGCTACACCAAGAATGAAGAAACGATGTGGATGTAGGAAAATGTATTTTTATCTTGTAGGCAGGGAGAAGAGAAATGTGAACACACTGATCGTTTGCTGTGTAAAAAGCTGGACGTGTGCAATGTAAACAGACATAGTCTAATTTTTCTCAAACAAATCGGGCCCCTCGGTTCTAACAGTTAAAAAAAAATATAAAAGGTCAATTATACCGGCATTACAGTTTTAAAACATAGGTAAAAGTACACTATGGTTCCCTACATACTACCTATATTTGGATTTCTTCCCTCAAAATAAAGTTAGAAAACTAAAATATGAAAAACACAAACTGGTAACAGCACATAAAAATACATCTTTTTAGCGGCACACGTAGTAAGTCTATAAAAATTTTATATACAAGAACTGCATAATTGCAATGTCATTCTTCCATCATTGCCCAAGCCTCTTCAGCTTTTTGGTAGTACTGATTTGCCAGTCTGCCTTTCATGGCTTCTGTTGCTGCTTCTGCTGCTTCTGTGTACAGCTCACCTGCAGGAGGAAATAGGATCAGAATCTTGGTGACAGGGCAAAGAAAAGGCAACTCTTTGCCCTGAAGTGATTAAAGCATGAAAAGAGAAACTGAGGTCAGATTACCGGGCCGGAACTATGGGTGTAACTGTGTATTTTACTAGCACCGGCAGAGTTACATCCCCTGGGAACCTGGCTTTTGCTTTTCAACTCTTAAGTTATATGACTGACCGCTGATACGACAGTAGCGTGGCTCTTTAATGTATTTACAAGGATCATAAATATGACTGGTCAGTAACAGTCCCCAAGAAGACTGTAAGACTTATAGGTCCTGACACGCAGATTACGTAACAGCTAAGACAGCGTTGCGTAGGGCCTAGGAGTTACAGCTGTAACTCAAACTACAAGCAGCAACTTGCAGTTCAGCGGCCTCACAGGGAGCAAAGGTTGCTTGCTAGGGACTCAGCATGTCACAGGATTGGAGCTGGCACCACCTACTACCCTGGCATCAGCAAAATCTCCTATTTCACTGTCTTCAGCATTATATATCACCTGGGGTCATTGCAGCTTCATCCACAAAATCAGGACGCTGACCCTCTCTACATGTTTTATAACAGCTGAACAAGGAAATGCGTTTTCGGGATACGTGTGAGGGGGTAGAGAGGAAAAGCAGGGTTACTGATTGCAGGAACCAGAACGAGGACTCAGGTACCCGATTTCTGTGGATCCTTGTTCAAGTGAAATCCTCCTGTCATTAACATCTCTGCTTCCCTGGCCAGGAGCAGATACCGGGGCTCGTCCTGAGTACCATCATATTCACCTCCCTCATCGTAGTCAGTCATGTTCAGTGCAGCATTGTACCAGTACAGCGCCTCCTTCCAATCCTGCGCTCTGAAGTGAAGAATAATTTTTGAAGATAGCTGCCTTGGGAAAACACAAATACTTTGTCTCGGAGCTTCAGGATTCAATTCTGCGCCAGCTCCTCAGAGCCTTGGTGCTCTCCAAGAAAGCTTATGTTCTCATGGAGGCTCACTAACCGCATCGTAGCCTCAGGTCATTACACCAAACGAGGCTGGGATCACGTTACGCAGCGATCACAGATGAGAACGCGTCAGACTGAAGCATCCTGCTGAGCTCCAGAGTCTGAGCTTTTATTGTTAGTTACTGTATGGTTTTGGCCTGGCATTTGTTTGTGAAGATAACTTATTTAGAAACAGTCTGAGGTTGCAGAGTCTTGTTTCATTAATATTTTGAAAATAATTATTTTCATCTTGAGAATGCTCAGTGTATTGCAATTAGAAGTGTAATGTTATTTTTAAATTTCACCATTGTCAAGAGTTTTATTCTTGTGGGCAAAACATTAAAAAGTAGTAAATAACAAAGCCATGCCACAATACAAAAGGAGAAAAATTGCTATCATCACCTGTTATATTTGGTACTTTAGGAAATTAGTATGTCCCCTTTTTAAAACTCACCTAAAATGGTAAAAAAAAAAAGAAAAAAGAAAAAAGAAAAAAAGAAAATCAAGCTAATATACTGCATAGCCTTTTAGCAAATTACAATTTATTTCTCCGTCAGAAATTAAGTCAGAGTCTTAAAATCTTCCTTAATTAAAAGCAACATCCTCAACTTTAAGACTATGCGTCTGTGAAATTTCCATTCCTATTTTTATAATGAGAAGCAGTGAAAGACTGCAACTGTGACAAATGCATCATTCATCTGACTGTGCCTTGCCTATAATCAGTTTACAGCTTCACCTATTTGTACTGTTCTTTGGTTTCTTTCGAAACTTAATTAGAAAAAAAAACCCACTTTTTAAAAACTGTACTTTCAAAAAAATCACTTAGCAGGAGGCATGGCAGTTGTAGTACCCTAAAAATAATTGCAAAGTATTTACATCTCAGACAGAACCTCTTGGGTTCATTTTTTCCACTCATCCCAGGATTTTAAAGGATGTAACTCCCACTGAAGCCAAGGGAAGTTTTATCATCCACCTCAGAGCAGAAAAAACTGTACACCACAGTGCAACCACTGTCTCAGTATCAGGGCTAACCTCAAACATGCGAATGGATAAGATACACATGCAGATACTCAGCAGCAGAACTGTTGATAAACTGTGGCCTAAGCCCTGCTCTTACTCACACCGTGGTAAATTTGAAATAGCTCTAAAACACTTCTCAGCATTATAAACAGATCTGCACGTGATTGAAAAATATGCAGTGAATATTATTTTTCTGTGTGGGAGTACCACCAGGTTAGGTTACTCAGTCATGCACAGTACCTGCCTGAACCAAGATTTACGCCTGTATCATACGCCCTCGCTACCAGAATCATGGAAGGCCGGTCTCCAGCTTCTGCTGCTCTCAGCAAGTAATCAAATCCTTTTCTTCTGTTCTCCTTTGTGTCCTAGTAAAACAAACAAAACCTCTAAAATGGTTGTTGCCAAGTAAATCCATCCCTTCCTTCCTCTATCAGTAAACGCAGTTTCTCCACGTCAGTAACTGCCGCAGGTGTTTAACGTATCTGAGAAGCAGGCCCAGCCACAAGCAGCCGCGGGGCTGAAGAGTAAAGATCACTTTAAAAAAAGCTTCCCAAAGCTATGCAGTGATTTTCTGGCAAAACCACAAACAGGCAGCTTCTCTGGTACGTAGTTCAAACGACATCAAAGCCATCTATTTTCCCTTAAAAGGGAATGTTTGATGCTGTGGCTACAGAAGAACACATAACTATGTTCGTTTTGTCTTAATTTCCTGCAATACTTATGCTATTTCTCTGAAGGAACACAGTTCTGGATTTCGGTATTTTCTATGATTTTCTGTTTACCTCCAGGGTGACCTCAGAAAGAATGTGATGGGGCAGCTGACAGCACATGAGTCCCAGCCCAACAATGGCTTCCAGCTCCCCACAGTCTGCAGCATGCTCCAGGTGAAACAGAGCTGACTCCTGATCCCACTCCTTGTCTTTCTCACAGAAACGCCCAGCTTCGTGGTAGCGAACCATGGCCAAATGAACCTAGAACGCAATCATACAGAAAAGATACACTACTATGAAGTACAGCTCCAATTCCTCAAAAGCCCTGTGCCCGTACTTTACTTAGACGCGAAAATAGCTCCTTGAGGTGACTACTTGCATAAAGCTAACTCTCTGCTTTGCAGAGAGGTATACAGGGCGAAGCAAGGCCACAGATGCACGTGTAAGGGCAAGCTGTGTCTGAGCAGAGGGCTAGCTTGACAGACAACACGGGGACCTGGAGCCTGACTCGTGCCTTAACAGGTCCAACAAGCAAAAAGCAGTGCTTACGCAGTGCAGCTGGCTCTCCAGTTCTGTAAGCACAGACACATACAGCTTTATAAACTTGATTACTGGAGATAAAAGACCTAATTCAGCAAGACAGTAGCTGCCCCACAATCTTCCCACACCACTGCACCCTGAACTGTGCCCAGTAGGCTGCCACACCAGAGCACTAGGTCTTGGGGGGCACCTGCCTGTCCCAGCATATCTGCTAGGGCCTCAGAGACTTTTAGGAGGCAGCTGTAATTAAGGGCATCACGGCTAGGTGGCACCACAGTCTGCAACCTCCTAACGCACCAGCCAGGAAGGCAAACTGCAGTGACCCTAGCTCATAGGCCTTTCTGTACAGCAAGGGCCCACACAGGAAGGAAAATAACCTGGAACACAGAAAGCAAAGGTCTCTTATCCAAGGTAAGATCACGGTACCAGCCATTGTTCTCAATGGGAGCAAGGATTTCATTTCGAACATGCATTTGGATTTTGATTTTTTTGTCCCCCAAAAGAAAGGCAGGTTTCTTTTCAAACAGCAAGGGAAACCATCTAGGGCTCTCAAGATGTTTGGGAAGGTCTACGCCATGTTTTGAGCGTGGACTCAAAGCCCATGCCTAAGCCCAAGCTTAATTCACATTTGAATGGTCTGGGGCAGCTTAGGGTAGAAAGAGCAGGTCTGTGCTACCATTCATCAGGAGCCCAGCCAGGCCTACTTGCAATGTATACGCCTCAGGCACATCACATCAACCACGCTCTATCTTCTTTGCCTGCTGCCTCTGGAAAGGCAGATGAATCAACAGCAAGGTCCTTCCCAAAAGAGCCCAGATGTTGGAAGTCCAAGAGCACAAGGAAGTCATGGGTTACGGAGCTCAGACTTCCTTTATAAAATATGATTAAGTGACATGAGGCTATAGGCATACAATTTCTTTTCGCTTGTGTGAATAACTAATGCAGAGAGACATCACGTAAGTAACCTATCTAAGATGTTTCTTTCCAGTTGGAAAGAACAGAATTATCAGATTCATCCTACCTTCCCAAGGATTGACTTCCCAATTTTCTTTTCAAGTTCTAATGCATTGAGCCTCTGAATTTCTTGAGCAACACAGGATGGTCTGTGGATGTGGACTCTGGAAGAATTGTAGAGATTCCATTTCTCCACACTGACCTAAAACAGGGAATATACTATCGTTTGCATCTGACATGAAAAGTTTTCAAATTATTCATATGGAGAACCATATTAACATCTATTAATACTACTGCTTATTAGTAAATATGGCCAATTAAGATACTGCTCTCAAAAGTCACATTAATAGCTGAATAAATGGTTACTATTATTCACTAAAAACAAACAAACAACAACAGTAAAGCTCTCCATTTCCATGCCCTACATCAAATATCCAATATCATCTTTAAGTCCTGAACCAAAAGGTAGGTACGTATGAAAACGAGCACCTGAACAGTCACACTGCAAGCGCTGAGGCCACTTATACACATAAAATTAAACCCAGACTTTTCTGGTCAGTGTTTCTGTTTTTAAAATGCTGCGTATATTCAGCAGTTCTAGAAAAATGAAAAGCATTTCAGTAACAATTCAGAAGATTAAGGGCAGATACATCTATTAGCGTTTCTCAGGCAGTCCAACACAAACGATAATAAACTACTTTTAAAAATCATGAGTGGATGGGAAACGCTGAAAAGAATGCTATCAAAATGAATGTCATTGGAGGCACAAGGAGGAAACAATACAGCAGACTACTGGCACTGATCTTCGGACTGTTAAAGCTCTTTCAATTTCCTGAAATTTCAATACATAATTACAAGGAAATTCTGAAAAGCACATTTAATGAAATTATTCACTGTTGTCAATTTTTTTTCTTTTATTGCAGAAGAGAGTTGTTTTTAGCCACAGAAACTAATTACCACAGAAGCTATATTTTGTAAACCCATACAAGCAGGTTTAATTTTCCCCAGCCAATATACCTAGTGAAAATAGCTATCATCACACATTTCAAACACTGCAAATTTTAAAAAGAAGTCATCCAACCGTGTATAGGACACAGTTCCATAAAGAAGGCACAAAAAGGATATATCATCTAGTTAAGCAGGGGAAAAAAAAAAAAAAGAAAAAAAAAATCAAAACATGAAAGAGTGAGGAACCCATGCAGGTTTATTAATTTACACTAGGGATCATTTATGAAGGCGACAGAATTTATTTACAAGAGCATTTGTTTAATTGAAAATTAAAGATAAAATTAAAAAGAAAAGAACATAAAGGGGTAAGTTGTTATTAACAGAAATATTATTCTGCAGTTGAAAAGGAAGGAAAACTGACATCTGATGTTGTGATGTGATGTTAGATGGCAGATGAGTCTAACAGAGTACAAGCAGAGGGGTAAACTCATTGTCTACGAGCATTGCTGCTTTATTTACCCTTGCAGAGCTTCCCAAACTGTCTTCATCGGGTTCATGTCTTCGGTTGTTGTTTGAATGGCCCTATGTTAATGTAAAGATTTGCATCACTTAATTTACAGCAGCTGATGCGTGCCAGTCACCCCCTCGGGACTATCCTATCCAGCAAAATTAATAGCAACAATAATGAAAATAGTTTCCACTGGATTCTCTTCTCTCACTGATGTTCCGATTTAAAAAATTGTGCTGAAATGGTAAAAAAGTATCGCACAGCCAAGCTTTAAGCCTGTAAACTAGATTTCTACAATAAATACATTGCCCCCCTCAAAAGTGATTTCTTCATACAAAAGGGGTGGCATCCCTGGAAGCAGTATTCTCTTTCCTCTCTACTAGTTAAATATCGAGTTACAGTCTTCAGGTCAAGAAGCATTTCTTAAACGTTTGTATTTTAAAGGAGTAACCAGTTGATTGAGAGGAATTCCAAAGCTGGACGTTGTTAACTGACTGTAACATTGAGCTCTGTGATATCTCAAGCTATATAAAGTCATAGAAGGTAGGGAGGGTAAAAGAGTCTGGAAGTAAGTCATATTCATGGATTCCATACGACAAAAACTGGTTATAATATGTATATATACAAAACACTTCAAAAAAACCCAACAGCATGCAAACAAATTTAACATTTGAAATTAAATTCCTCATTATAATAGTCTTTTTCCTGTAAAAAGGTCATTAACGTTCCCAAGATGAATAAGTAATTTTGCAGCATGTGGAAATTTCTTCCCAACTATTTCCTCCACTCACAAAGTCTCGGTCAAGAAGGATTAAAAAAAAAAAAAAGATTTTTCTATGGATTTGCTTCAAGTATGAACAAGCGGTCCAACCTACTGCTAACCCTGAATTAAGTTCTTACCCTCTCTCTATGATCCAGATCTTCTAGCTCACTTCTCTTTTCACTGGGATATCCACTGTCTCCACCATTTTCAAAATCCTACAGAAGAACAAAGCAACACACCATCAACATTGTCCTTTGTAAAGGTCTCAGCTTGACATTTCCCACAAGACAAGTCTTCTGCTAGCTTCAATGAGATATATAGGTTTACAGGATGAAAAGGATTGTATGTTGCGCTAGCTGTGACAGACCAGGACTTCATGACCCAGAAGGCCCAGTACAACCTTATGTTCCCTCTCAGATACTTAGAATTCAAAGACTCACATACAAGATCAGACCGAGGGTCCACTTAACATAGTTTTCAGTCTGCATCAGTAGCCAGCTAAAGATAAAATAATAACTGTTAGCCCCTGGAATAAGGCCCTGGTGTAGGAGAATGACCTTGGAATGCTTCGGGTAGTCTCCTCAGGGGAGGTTCTCTAACAGCCCACAGTACCAGTATTCATAGAGACCTGATCAATGGGGATTCTGTTTATCTTTCACACCACAAAAGTTGGCGCAAGCTCCAGAGAGACAACATGCAGGCAAGGAAACAGATACACACTGTATTATCTGTTAAAATACACCAGATGCAAATACATTTCTGGAGGGAAAATAGAAAAAAAAAAAAAGAAAAAAAGACTGTTTTAAAACAAAATGTTTCTAATAAAGGAAAAACAACAGATGCACATAGGTAATGGAACCTACAGTACTGAAAGCAGGCAGAGAGCCTTTATGTGCCTTTACTGAACACAGCCTACTGGTAGTCCTTTAAATTCATTAAGGAACTGCAATCTCATTTTCTGTCAGAAAGACACTCACCCTTTGATTATCAAGCTGATCATAGTCTTTGTGAACCAAGTTATCTACTTCGTTGAACACAGGCCAATCTAGGAAGAAAAATATTTGCTTCTTATGCTAAGAATAACATGCTTGAGAAGAAAGCTCCAGATATCATATCATATATACTTTTACCATAGTTTTTCACAGCAGTATCTCAAAGAGATGAGTTTTATTACTGTTTAAACACAAATGAAAAGCATTCTTTGGAAGACAAGTATTTGGGACTAAATACAACATGCTAGATTTTTAAAACTGAAAAAATAAAAGAGGTCACTGCCAAATGCTCAGGTATTAGGAAGATATATGAGAGGCTCACTCACTAAGCATGTCCATCTTTTGGCTGTGAGGTGTTGCTGAGGAAGGTGAGCAGGGTAAAGAGTCAAACGCCACGTCGCTCATGCTTTCATCTCCAGAGTTTTCAGACAGGCGGAAAAGCAGAGGAGGCCGACTACCAGAGATCGTTCTCACCCGGCTGCTTCCACATTTTTCCTCTGTGCCGCGCACAATTGTCTGAGCGGATTTCTTGGCAAATCAAGAGAAAAATCACGTCAATAATGCTTCCCCTGCCTTTATTCTAAGTATGGTGCATAGGCCAGCATCCATGTTTATTAGGGGTCTTCTACAAAGGAAGGGGGGTATAAGTACACACAGGTATGCATATTTATTTGCTTTAAAAAAAGCATACACCTTCAAAAAAATATGAAATTCTAGCATTATTACAGTCAGCGGATTTCTGTTTAGAGAGACTAAATTTCTTTCAAAGACTAGGCTAAATTCTGCAGTCATAGTCCCATCAATATCAGTTGAAGTTGAGATCAGTTGAAGATAAGCAGTTCTGATTCTTTTTCCTCCCCAAATTACTTGCTTTGTGACCTTCAAACTAAAGATTTCATCATTCAAAGATCTACTTGCTCCTAAATATACATACGCGTTACAAGGTTCCCTATTCATTAAAGAAACATCATGAATTCAGAGCCAAGAACGGATGAGTCAGCTTTAGGGTGCTGTATTTTAAACTGCAACATTTGTTATTAAGATGGCTTTATCTGCCATATAAATACCATATTTGAGTTTTATTTACAGGGCTTTTAGAGTAAACTAGCAATATTGCTTAATTACACTTTTTTCATCAAGCACTTACAAGCAATGTGTTATTATAATCCAAGGCATCTCTCTCTTTGGATGAGAGATCAAATGGTGCAAGCCCCATGCTTTTACAAATCTTGTTGCGAATGAAAGAACAAGGCCATACCTCGAACACCTATGGCATTGGGGAAAAAAAAAGAGTGAAGAAAGGTTTTACCCAAAGTTTTTATGATAGTTTACTGAATAGAAGTGAGAAGTCCCAATGCACTTTCTTAAAAGAAACTGAGGTATTTTAAAATGCTATGTGAATTTAAAGACAAGATTAACCGTTAATAATTCTAAGAAGCCAAAGAAAGAACAGAAAGCGCTTCCTAGACACACAGCTCAACATAGCTGTTTTAAGACCTGCTGTTCATGCTCTCATTTCCTCAAAGTCTGCAAAGATCTCAAAAGCTATGTGCGCACAGCATATAATAATCCATGAAACTGGCTGCAGCACTGAGAAACACATGCCTAAGTTCAACCCTATTTACAAAACTTGCAGTGTCCTGTGAACAACTTCATGTATGCACACTTGGAGCTTCAAAAGTATGCAAGACTTATCTCTCTACACACAGCTGGATCCATTCCTGTAACGTGACAAGGAAATTAAAGACTAAGATTATTGCTCTCACACTGCAGGAAGCTGCAGGCTGGTCTAAGAGTAGGCCAACAGATAAGAGCCAAGGCCAGCTCCCATTTTAAATATGCCAGTGCGTGACAGCTGCCATGCAACTGGTACTCAGCAGACAGCTGGAACGGGAAGATGAACATCCATCAGAATGCGAAGCAGGATAATTGACTTTACCTAGGTTGCCGTCTCCAAAGTCCGTACCATTCTCCGTATGGATCTGAGGGTCTGTATATAGATCTCCGACTCCCTGGATGTCAACAACAATCAGTTGGTGTCCTGAGCGCTCAAAGGTGAAGTGACTAAAGGCCTGCAAGGAACCACAGATGTCTAAGACAACTCTCCCTTGACCTAATGAAAACAGTAATACGTGAGTCAAACAAGCAGGATATGGCCCTTAATTGTAACCTTCAGGGCATAATGGAAGCACTGAGAGTTCCTGGCAAATTGTTTCACAGAATGTTGCCCTGCAGACAGTATCAGAAGGTCTAGTTTCCTCTGGAGTGGCTAAATTCAATGCCAAGTATTTGCTGGGGGAGGGGTAATTGTTCCCCATTTCCAAAAGGGGAAGGATATTTGGACATAGATCTCCCAAATGGAAAGGAGTATCTTGCGTCTATAGCATTGCTTCTCCAGCCCGCCCCCAACTCATGAGCTGGGAGAGGTTGGGGGAACCGTAGCAGTAGGGGCATGCAATGAAAAGGAGATTACTTTTTTCCTCCTTCCTGTACAGGGGGCCTCTGTTTTCCCCTGCAGCCTTCACCTTCAGAAATGGGGAACTTCTGGGCAGAACAGAACTAGAGGGAGAACAGCAGTAGGCTCAGGAGCCAGCACAGAATCACTTCTGCATAAACATCCCAGCTGTGCCTGCGGATCTCTAAGCTCAGTAGCTCTGGGACACTGCTTCCTTCTACAGATGGGCAAAGCTCTGCCAGATTTTGCAAAAGGAAAATGCGAGCATCCCCCAGAATTCTCCTTCCCTTAGTATTCCCTCTGGGAGGTCCCCCTGAACGGCTGATCTGGCTCTACATTCCTGTATGGGATACTGAAATGTATGTTTGTATTCTTTAAATGCTGCATTTTAAGAATGTTGGGTATATTAAAAAAAAAAAAAAAATCAAAAACACACCACCGAAAACCTTTGGCATAAAGCTGAGACATTAGGAATCTTCTGGGAAGGCCTCCAGAAAAGCGCTGCCAGGCCTGGGGGAGGTGACTGGTGGTGATAGACAAACATTGTAACTGCAGCAAATCTCACAGAACATTTTGTTCCCAACCTGTGAAAGCACAGTACTGATTCAGTGTACAAAAGACAGCCCAGAATAATGAATCCTCGGCTTACATTAAGCAGCCTGACAAATACCTTAAAAACAGCAAAAAATGAAAAAAAAAAAAAAACCCAGCAAAATCAGTTTCCTTTGGTATGCTGATCACTTTGCATTTTTGACCAAGGTTTTACAAGTTCTTCTGTGAGATTCAAGAACTCCCAGTCATTTGAAGTCTGCAGCTTTATTTCTATAATCAATCTCAGATTCACCTATTCAAATGTTCTATCTGAAGAACTAGATCCTTAGATGCAAATAAAGTATACACGTATTTACACAAGGTGCAGATCTGCCCTTCTCCTCTTCTATGTTACACTGAGGTAATAGAAGACTACTTAGTACTCAATATGCAAGAGCTCCCTCCCTGCCTTTAATTTGAAGTGACTCTGAAAAGTTTTGATACCTGCAACTGTAATTAGAGTGAAAGGGCTTACAGATCCTAAAGAGCATTAAGTGCATTCAACTTAACTAAAAATCAGCAGACACTAACATGCAATAAAAAAGTACTCAGTGCTTGAAAGAGCAGGCCCCATATAAGGAAAGCACATACTGCAGAAATTAATCTGGCATTGTACTGGAAAGCCTGCAGTTTCCTTTCTTGGCAGCGATGCAAGACCCCTGGGCACAGCCAAGAAATTCCCTGCAGCAGACACTACGGAAAACGTTAAAGAAAGCCTCACTTGCGGCGTAAGACGAATGTTGTCATCTCGCACAAATCCAGAATTGGAGTTGTATTTGATGTATTTTCCCTCTATGTAATGTTCCAGGTGAAAGAGAGGCTTTCCAGGCCTGTTCTTCATTTCAATAATGCAGATCTGTACTATATCCACCTGGGAAGGGAAGGAAGGTAAACAGTGACTAACAGAATACTGTCTTCAGATCGAAGCATGTGCGACTTCTCCAGCTGTGAAAACTTTGCTAATGAAAGGAGTTCAACAATTGCAAAGTTCTGTCCGTTTAACAAAGGCACAGGGGAAGTCATTTGCTTCCCAAGTTATTGGGGGAATTCCATAAATCCCAAACAATAACTTCAAAAGCAGTCACAGAAACTCATTTCTGTGACAAAGCCTTCTGCAAAATTGCTAGTAAACGCTGGCTTTCTATTTCATTTTTGTGGGTACTTTAAGAGTATGCTGCAAATAGCCTGTACCCAGCGAGCAGAATGTGCAGTAACTTGTAGAAATAGCTCTTCAGAGGACGACTGAAGACCTTCTACCATTCAGACATTCTGCATCCTGCCTCATCTCCTCCCCCTGTCCCGGACATGTTCCTGAAGAGAATCACAACCCTCACTCTGTTTATATCTTTCCCATGGCACTTAAAACTTTCCTCTACATTCCTCTGTGTGCGCTTCACCCTATACCTCACCCTGTTGCTACGACGCAGGTAACCAACTCTCAGATGTAAGAAAATGCACATAGTCCACATATTCAAAAACACTCACTAGTTTTGGCTATTAAATTTTTAAGGCATGCTTTTTGACCCAAGCGTCTTGTCGCATGTCACACAGTCTGTGGCAGAGCGAAAAGCAGAACCCTAGTCCCCACGGTGCAAGCGTGTTATCTTTCCTACCTGCCTGCTCTTCCACTCATTTGAAGTCACAATTACAGTCAGGCAGTCAGTACCAGCAGCAGATTAAAGGGACTTGACAGCTACGTTAATACATATTGTATTACGGTACACGGTAAAGGAAGAGGAATAGCTGCCTCATGAGAACGAGTGACAGTTATAGTCCTTCATCCCTGCATTTTAATTCTTGTCCTTTGACAAGCTGATTGCTGCTGGAGGTGTTTTTGTCCAGGACACAACGATCTGCTTTGACCAACAGCTATGCAGCTTACCGTCATGAAGAAGTGCAAAGCTATGTTAGCCACATTTGCAAGATTATACAGAATGCTTAGCACGGACCCCAAAAATACAGTTAGAATAGCAGTGGAACTACCTCTTCCCTCATCCTGTCTGTTTATGCATACCCCCGGCACACAGGATAGGGACTTCTCTTGCTACCCTGAGCCTGGGAGTTTTCATATATCTTACTGAACGCTTTTCACTTTAAACAGCGTGCTAGTATTCCCACTGAGGCACCTAAAAGAAACAAAGCCATATCATTGTCATTTTTTGGAAAGTTCTTGACCAGTGCTCAGAAAGCTGCATTCAGACAGCATAGGACAGCTTCATAAAGTCATTTAGGTTCCCAGCTCTCCTGAAAAAAATCAATGCCAGCCCAGATACCTTTACAAGACTTCAGCATCTACCTTTCCAGGAGCACTAACAGTTAAGTGATTGCTCAGACTGCTGCTGGCAATGAATTCTGTGACACTACTGGTTATCTGAAAAGCAGCAGGGCAAATGTCTAAAAGAGCAATCCAAACACTGTTTTATTTTGGTCTTGAGTCAACAGCTGAAAACAGTCAGACATTCAAACACACAGCCTGTGACTTTGGATGAGAAAAGCAATTTCTGCATTTACTTCATTAAAAAAAAAAAAATCAACTGCCATTTAATGGGCAGAAGAGTTTATCTGAGCAATTAACTTAAATGGAATTTGAACAGCTAATCCCCTCTAAAATTATTAGAGGATCAAGACTGATTTTTTGCTTAGCAAGATGTTTGAATGTACCTGTTTTGGTGGCTTGTGCCGGTTGTACTCTTCTCCCCAGAGTTTTGCTTCCATCTGAAGTCGGACATCCTCAAAATACACATCCCTGCCTACGCTCTCTATGTATTGCTTGGCAACATAGTTATAGGCACCTTTCCAGTTCTGCGTGTGTAAGAAGTTGGACAGCTTTTTCCTGAAAGACAAATCAAATTGTTGATGAAAGGAAAACTGGGCATTTAATTCAATCTTCCCCATTTCTTTGCCTCCATGGACAGAGCCAGGCCGTGAGATCAGCATTGTCCTCAGCGAGGAGCTGATCCTATGTCACTTACCAGACAGCTATTATAGCTGAAAAGCAAAGCATGGGTTTGGGGGCGGGGAAGGAGGAACATCCCATTTGAATGGCTGGGACTTGCCAAAATGCCTTTGTGACTTCCTCTTTGTACTCTGAACTTCCTCCTTACAATTGCTAACAATTGCTGTCAGCAGAAAACAACAGGGAGCGGCCTTTCAAACACCAACTGAGGGGAGACAATCCTCTCCGACGATAAGGGAGGACTGCTGCTTTCTCAATACCCACGGGTGGCTACTCAGTAACCCCCAGTGTTCCCAGAAGGAAAACTGCCGCCTAGAATTATTCCTTTGATGTAGTTTTTAATTTTTGTTGACATGCAAATCTTTAATCCACAGATGCCTCAAGAGTGAAGAAAAGATTTAGTAACGGAGGATCTGCTGGGTGCCAACAAATGAATTAAGCAGGCACCCAGTAGTTGCAGAATATGCCAATGTTCAAATCAAATGGGGAAAAAAACCTCGATTTTTACCACGAATTTCAAAGCAATCACAGTCTTTCCTAGAGGAGTTGTGTCCATTTACATGGGACACAGAGGAAAGGAATAAACTTTGTTTTTGTTTTGTTTGTTGTATTTGCTGGTTGACTTGATTCAACAGAGAGGATGGTAAAAGGTATGAAAAAAATCACTGCTGTGGCAGCAGTGGTATGGCCAGAGATGCTGGCAATGCCAAGACAGTCTGAAGGGAGAGGAAAAGGATTATGAAGAGGAATATCTGGAGTAAGGCATGGCTGGCTACCTAGCAGTTCCCATACTCTGCTCGGTGACAAGCAATGGTTCTCCAAGCCTTTTTTGGTGGATTGAACATTTTAAGCACCACGTAGAGGCAGCCAATCTCTCAGCCTTCCCCTCTCCCTCCTAAAAACTAAGGGTAGAGGTAGAAATGCAGGGAGGTTGTAAAGGCACAGCATTTCCAGACTGTCTGTCTATCCTCCTACAGGGATAGGCAGACAGTTGCTATAACATAGGTCTTGGAAAGAAGGAACAAGCATTTGAGATAAGAATTCCAGCTAGGATTTGAGACCTGTCCAGTTCTCTGCAGAAACAGTTTTTTCGCACAAAATAAGCCAGCTCATATGCATGTCTAAAGCAAACACTCTCCATGATTCATCAAGTGAAGTGCAGCCAATGCTGTCCCTGTAATGACAAAACTTGCAGAGTTGTAAAAACACAGAGGGCTCTAGATGAGAAGTATCAGTGCACCACTGTGAGTTATGGAAAACCAAGGCATAGGGAAGCTTACACACGTCATACTTTCCCACAAACAGGAGGTTAAGGTAAAGCTGCAAATAAATTTCTGTTTATATCACTACTCAAGATATTCTGTAAGGAGGAATTTGGTTACTCAGAAACAAGAACTGAAAGCAATGTCCCCAGACTGGGGCTTGTTACTTCTCAGGCTTCGCTCACTGTTGTATTTGGCTTTGCGAGAACAGAGCCATCAGCATGAAGCGAGAATGGAACTGCAGAATTGGAGGACTGAGGGGTTACTTTGTCCCCTTTTATCTAGAAGTTCAAAACATCATGTTTCTGTCATTCAGAAGTTTCTCTCTTCCCACAAGTGAAACCAGATGTGAAATGTAATTCCTCTAGATCCTGCAGCTGGAAAGAAGGGGGGGGGGGCGGGCCTTAAACACGCACATGTACATTTTCCAGGAAACATTCATTTGCAGAGCCTGGAAAGGGTGGGGTAGTCTTCTAGCATGAACTGATTTATAGCTAGATGCTAATGCCCAAAATCACATTCACTAGCGCTCTCTGTGAAAAGGAAAGTTCCTCCTCTCCCTTCTTTGCCCTTCTGGAAAGAACAGTTGTTAATCTTCAAGCTCCCCTCTACTTAGAATATGGTTACTGTGGTACATGTGATCCAAAATAAACTCTGGGAGAACAGCCCTCTTTCCTGAATGCGGCTGAATTGAGAACTCGCCTCACTCTCTCATCCACCTACTTCTGCGTCCCTTAAGAGAAGGTACAACATTCTGCTTTCTGAACCTTCTTCCTAGTGTTTTGGCTGGAGTTGCACAAGCAGGAATAAAGTCCTCAGCTATGCCTTTTAGAAATAAACAGCAGGGAGCTAAACGGGGACCTGTACTTTACACAATTCTCATATCGAAGAGAAATTCCACTCACCACGCAGAAGAAAATACTGCATGGAGGCCAACAAAGAAAGCCAGTGTATACTTACGTTCTAAAACATTCCCGCATCGCTCCGCGACCAAAGGGCTAAGGAAAGGAGGAGAAAAAAAAAAAACAACACAGCATCGTCACTTCCACAAAGTTAATTTCTAACCAGTAAGAGACATGATCATGACCTCCCCCTTTCTAACCTGGAGAAAACACTTTGCAAACTGGCTTTATACAGTAGCTGGCAAACTGGCTTTATACTGTCTCCTCAAAGGAGAGCGACAGCCCACAGGCAGCGTAACAGAGGAATTTGGCAAAAAAGACATTGGGAATGACCCTCCTTCTTCAATATCCCATGGAGCAGATATGATACGTCTTTTAAAGATGCCATTTAAAAATCTATCTCCAGTTTGCAGTCAGCTCTTTTGAGACTGCCTAGAGGAGCTGGCTTCACAGGTCTTAAGCTCTCATTTAGGCTCCCGCACAAGATGTGCCATAGAGAGCAACACCTCCCTAGCCACCAGATACACAGTAGCACAGAACACGACACCACCGCACACCAACCCCAAGATGCAACTGGGAAGTGGCAGTAGCTTCCACTCTCACAGATAGAAAATTTAGTCTGTTTTCATCCTAAGAGCAGAAAATGTTATTAGAGACAGAACACAGTAGGCGCATTGCCAGGCAGGGAGATGAGGCTCACAGCACTGCCAGCAGCAGACGGAAGCGCTCAAACAGGAGGGCCGCTCTGGGAAAGAAAGGAACACCTTGTGTCACTGATGGGGTGGGCTGACTCCACGTTCTATTTTATTCTGGGGAGAAAGTGCTGCTGGGACACCAAAACGTAATGGATGAGCAGAGAAGGAAAAGACAAGAGGTAGGAAAGAAAAAAAAAAAAAAGATGCTGAGACTTCAAAGCTCTTAGAAGGGAAAGGCATCTTGCAGGAACTATTCAGTTCTTACTTGTGAAGCCATCTTGATGAGGACTTCGTCTTCAACCCAGTCCCCAGTAACTGCGTTGTACCTGCAAAAATCAGGATTTGTGCCTCTTAAAAAAATGCAGAGGGAACCCAAGTCCTCCCATCCCCAGTGCCTATACTTCTTTATTTTGCATAATCCTAGTTGTGGCTGGGGGCTGCCACAGGCTTGCCAAGGATGTGAGCGGAATGCAACACCGGCTGTGGCTGTGAGAAGCAAGGGGGCCAAGAACCGCCCAACATTGCACCAAGACAGGAACAAGTCTCTGCACGTCCCTATGATAATACAAAGAGTACGACTGTGGTTTCTCCCCGCTCCCTTAACTCACCACCAAAGTGAGAACCACAGCAGCTGAGTCAGCAATACATGACTGTTTCCGGCCAGATTGCCCCAGCTTGCTCTAGATACTTCATCCTTGTATCCAGATATCCTGAATACCCCCTTAAATACTTTTGTACCACCTCAGTTTGCAGCAGGCAAAAAAAAAAAAAAAAAGAGGTTGAAAAAAAGAAAAATCAGAGCTGTCTCTTTTTAATGGGGCATTCAAGTAGTCCTAAAGCAGTATTATCACTTTCTTGTACTTCAAAATATGCAGACTATTCCAGGATTGTGCAGCTGACCAGGGACAGATTGGGTCTGTGGGGAGGAAGACCACTGTGTGACAGTGCCATATGCAAGGGGAAGGGAGGCCTCCCCAAATACTGATGCTACAGGGTATTTAACTAGCCCCTATCTCCTACCCTTTCCACCAATAAACCTGTGTCACTAGGGTAACCTTTCTGGCAAAGCCTGTGCTCAAAGTACTGAGAATAGTTTAAGGACCAGACTCCATTTCAGCACGTACACTGTGCTGAGCTATTCTGGGCTTTTTAAGGATTTAAATTCCAGCCACATGCAACAACACTGCATGTACAGGCAACAACAAAAGTGCTATTTTGGGAAAGACACAGAATGCTAAATGGCTTTTTTTTTTTTTAAACTGTAAACACTCTGCCTATTTATTGGGATTTATTTCCTTATTAAGTTTAGAGAGTTAATAAATCAACCAGAAAATACTTTTCAGACTTATTTCCTGTCTGTATCTCTGGATGATAAAATTTTTACATACTGCTGAAGTAGAAGAGAGAGGAAGACGGTTACACTGGCTTGCTGGAATGTTTATTTTTGTTGACCATGTGCAGCACTTACGCATTCCTGGGAAATTCAGTTAAGACATACTCATTTTGGGCATATTGGACAGTTCTTCAGACGAGTAATTATACATTCTGAACCACATGAGCACAGCCCTTCAACATAAATCAGCAGAACCCCTTTAACATCAGCATTAAAAGCAAGCCTTACAGACCTGTAACGAGTGGCGTATTCTGTCTCAATGTCCTCAAGATGAAATTCCGCCCAGGGATCGGGCATGTGTTTAGCTTTCTGAATAGCATGTTTCCAGGTTTCCTGAAGAAGTTACGAAAGGTTATTTACAATCAGCAGCAACCTACAGAAATGGCATTTTCTAGAGTACATCTGAATCCCAAAGTTACAAAGATGTGCAACTACACAACTCCCCAAAACACTATTCAGAGCGGGGACCAAGCCAGGAGCAGGACAGGGCAATCTTCCTCCAAAATTTTCTTTCCCCTTTTCTGTACCTGCCACAGAATACCACTCTGACATTTGGTAGTTTCAAGTATAATGAAACACAGTTCAGAAATATAAAGCATTAGGTTTTAATTTAATATACACCAACATAAAGTTACTGAGAACAGAATTTGGTCTAGTATATACATAGGAGGCAAGTACAACTTGCAAAAAAAGTTGTAATTTGCAAGTATCTCTAATATATGCTGCAAATAGCAATCAGTCACACCTAGATGACATTTTTAAATAATTAGCTTTTATCATTTTGATTTTTAGGTTGTTGCAACTAACCTAGCATACACTAGTGTTGTTAAGTGGGGGGGGAAAAAAACATTAGCGACAGAGCAATATGAAGGAGGAAAAAGTTTTGCAATACCTAATGCCCCCCAAACTGTGTTAGCGTAAGATAAGAAAGAAGAAATTAGCATTCTGTGAAAATGGATTATTGTAACAATTCCAGACATGTAGCTATTTCAATCTCCATCAAGTGAATGGCAAAAACAAAAAATGAGTTTGCTGGAATTTGAATAGCCTGTCTCTACAAGCTCACACAGATGCTTTTAACATTTCGATGCCCTCTTTATACATTGTGCTGCTCCAAGGGAGCTTGAGATATGATCTGATGATGCGCTAAATGCCTTCTGCAAAGGGATCAAGAGAAAAGGCCACTCTGCACCCGGAGGCACCCAGCACCTCTGTCCTGAAGGAGAATACAGATATCTCTGAGACTTTGCTACTGTCTCTGTGACTGAAGCATGCAGAAACAGTGACTTTTAAAATACTGCATTTTCTTTTAGAATTTAAATCTCAGTCAAAACTAAAAAAAGTGCAGTATAAATTAATGTGAGCAATGATATCAAGGAAGTTTCAGAAGAAGCTGATCTTTTCAATGTGTCATGTTTCTTTGTATTTCAACAGTGAATCAGCATACCTGGCAAACAATTTAAATGTTGTCCCCCTTCCTGACAATAAAACCATGAAATGAAAAGAAACAATAAACAAAACAAGTTTAAAAACACATAATGAAAAAAAGTTTCCCGCAGGCTTCATATCAAGATGAAGTTGCCTCTGATCAAGTTCACATGAACATGGGAACCTCCATACTCGAATACGTATGAAAGGAAGAGGGAGGGATAGAAACAAGTACAGCGGCAGCTTGCACAAGTTACTTGGTCAGTTATTTGTGTCGAGTCACCCTTGAGTACGGTCCCTCTCCAAAAGGTGATCAGGGTCCATGAGAGGTAATGATTTAAATAAATCAATTCCTTGTGCTTGATCCTGTGAGGTGCTTTGTACAAAAGCTGTATTCTAATCTTCAAAACAACAGAAAGTTGGATTTCATGTAAACTGCACTAATGCTGTTTCTCCCGTTGTAGGCATACGGATGCCGTACAGACTAAGGAGATGTCTTGCTACTGTGAGCAGGAACAGAACGGATGCAAATAATGTGAAGAAATAACTACAGGTACGTGCTCTAAAAGGAAATGACGTTTCAAGGTAGGGAACAAAAGACAGGCAATATTTCATTTATTTTAACAGTCATCTTTTTAAATCTGATTTGATGACTTATATGGGCTGAGGAAAGCAGTTCTCCCAGATAATGAAATAATGAACAAGACCACCATAAAAGGGAAAAAGATAAAAAAAAAGAAAAAAGGAAACCTTTAAGTGTCTATTACGTATGATGTTCATATTTTGTTTTAACCTACCCGACTATGGTCGACCACAGAGCCATGCTTAGAGCAATCCTGTGTGTCATTCTGAAGGATACACGAGAAACACAAAAGTAGGAAAATACACATGATAAGACAAATGACTGAAAAAGCTTTCTTTCTCTTGATTAATAATAATTAAAAAATGTCTTTTCCATGTAAAAGCCATTCTTCAATTTATATTGCTAATTTAAGTTAATTCTTAGAGTATCTGTGAACAAACCTATTCAGGTAAGTTGGCATTTTTTTATATTGACAAATAAGAGTTAAAAGGGTCTTGCCTATTAATTAGCTAATCAAACAGTGCTGAGTCCTGTTTAAAGGCAGAGAGTCAATACTAATTCCGTCTGTCTTTGCATATTACTATCAACGGCCTAGCCTGCCATTAGCTTTGAGGTCTGATAAATGGACTCTCATCAGACCAGACTGTGGTGGTTTAAGATGTTACCAGTCCCAGCTGTCTCCTTCACTGCGGGCTGGAAGTCACCATTTCTGGGGCTTGAACAACAGATGGAGACTTGCCTGCTCCACATCTGAATCCAACAGATTTTATCTGTGATATAAACCAAGCTGCCAGACTAGACTTCATGATGGCCAAAGCACAGGCACAGACTATAGTCTGCTACCCCTGCTACAGGACTTTAACTTCCATCAGAAGCAGTAAGATAGCTTAGGAAGGAGGAAATAACTGCATTTTCTTAAGTCCTTGTCATATTTATCTCAGGCCACATGACTCAAACTCCCATATATTCTGCAAACCTAGAGGCATATGTTTAGCGTGTGCTAAAATATATACACCAAATTAAAGACTAAGCTCCCTATTAGGTCTTGACTTGCTTAGCATAGTATACATTAAAATCTGTCCCCATATCTATCCTGAACTTTTCCTCCTCACCTTCCTTAAGAATATGTATGTTTTAATGTTATTAACTATCATATGCAAAAATCTTATTGCAGACAAGATGGTTTCACTTTTAATGTGTTACTACATTTATATGCTAACTGAAAAAAAAAAAAAAAAACCCTAAGGTCTCTCTCCAGGAATAAAGCACGTATCAGGCATAACTAAGACTTTGGAGCATCTATTAAAGGTATGTTAATAAAACACATAAATCCCAGCGTAGACAAAATCCAAGAGACATGCCATGTTAGCATGAACGGTGCTTATTTGGAATATCTAACCTACAGAGAGGTCACTCGTGTTCTTGAGGTGCCAGCTCCTGCGGGTTCTCTTCCCTTGGCCTGGCCTGATCTGTGCAAAGGGAGCAGAGCGGGACAGGACATACTGCCAAGGAAGCACCAACTACAGTCCTTTGATCTCTCTGCAACGCTACGATTGTCCTTCATTTTTAAAACGTCAGATAGCTTGAACGCAGTCAGAAGCTTCTGCCAGGGTGACACTTCACACCCAAGCACTAAAGTGAACATGTTAAAAGCTCGTTAGGAAGCTATTATATCCAATCTGTTAATGATGGGTTTTTAGGTTATTTTACAAAAATAACATTAGCTTTGTTCAAATACCAAAAGAAAAATGGATTGTTAGCTTTGCCTGGCACAATCCATGATAAAATAGCTTCTGCCGGGCACCAAATCAGCTTACAACAAATACCATCTCTAAGAATTCCCAGTCAGCGGGTTACTTAATTTATCATCCTGGATTCTGCTGAACTAAAAGGGACTGTAAGTAATTCAATGGCAGCGTTGGACTACTGGCTTAATGGAATTAACTGCAGGTCTAGAAAAATACCAGCTGGATGTTCTCAATAAATGTGTTAGTTGCAAGAAATGAAGCAGTTAGAGAATCTTTATCCTTATCTCTCATGTCAACTAAGTAAAATCAGAACCTTATTTAAGGCTGGAGTCAACGCTTACCTTAAAGTGGAACGAGTTGCTAGGTGAAGAGCTTGAACTGTACTGTTCAGTTTTTGCTAAGTTGCTATAATAATTGTCAACTTTGATACTGGAAGACTTGTTAGAAACCGGATCATCAGTTATTGGACAGATGTAATAATTGTCTTCGTCATCACTATCAGCATCAGGATAATTTCCAGAGTTCACTTTAGCTGATCTAGCATTATCAATACCTTCCATGCGAAAAATAAGGTCCTCGTCTGCCATGTTTGTGGGAGGTTGGTTTAACTCTTGCAATGGTTAAACCAGCCACTATTCCAGTGTGCATGCAAATGGAGAGAAGAAGCTGGGTAGGAGAGAAAAAAAAAAAGAATGTGCTGTTATTGAGATAACAAAAGCATGCATGAAACTAATGTTTATAGCACACTAGTTCCCCCCCCCCCCAAAAAAAAAAAAAAAAATCAAGTATTTACATATGGCTGTATAAAATGGATGCCTGAATACCTACAGGTGGTTTGAACGCCTCAGTACAGGATCTGGGTTTCCAGACGGCACCCAACTTTACAATTGTTACAGGATACAGAAAAGAAGATAACCCAGAATGGAACACCTCTATAAAATCCGAGGGACTGCAAATACCACCTGCTGCCTATGGCCGACACTCGTTAGCATTCCTCTCTCCCCCTCTGCGTGTTTCTTCCTCGTCTGAAATGCAAGTTTCATGACACAGGTCTTAGTAACTCCAGGGAGTTTTGCCCAATGAGAGGACTACATGGTTAGGTTTTCTGTTTTCCAGGACAACTCTTCTTAAGGACATCACATACAAAATTAATAGCCAAAGAGTTGGAGAGTATTATTGGGATAACAGAAAAAAATTGTCCTACCACTGCCCAGATTTAAGGCTGCTTCTAGCTTATATATGACACTTGGCCCAAACTGTGATGGGGCCGGGAGTTAACCTAAGCGTTGAAAGGACAGTGGTTCATTCATTGCAGGCATTAGCCCTGTAATGAAAGCAAAACCGGTCAAACTGTTTCGACTCCATTGCGTGAGATGCTTTTCCAGCCCAGAGTCAAAAGGCTGACCATTGTTTCTCCCATTCTTGTTCTCAGTTCTTGATAGGAAGACATCCTTTCCCTTAGCTTGTCTGTACGTCTTACCACAGCACTCAGACATTAAAAGGCACTTCAGTCATAAATAACGTATTGCTTTAATGCAGTCCGTTCTCCAGGGTTCCCTGCATGGGTCCTTTTTTGGAGCTCAAGATATCACAAATGGATATGCACATACACTATAGTCTCTCATTTCTGACCTTTCACCTGCAGGCTTTGGCAACAAAACTGGGAGGCAAATCATTTCCAAGACTGAAGCAAGACAAAACCCAGTAAGCCAAACCCTCCAAGATAAAACAACAGTAGTATCCCCTCATCTGTTCAGAAAACTAGGAACTACCTATGAATTATCTGGACAGCCCAGTATGCTCACCCCAGTGTGAATCAGCTCCTACCACTTCAGTTATCTCACAAAGTATTGCAGCACGTGGGTTGTTAAGATATTTGCAAAATCATGGGCTAGGTGAGCTAGTGACAATCATGTTGTCAAAACAGAGGCCTGGGACACTCAGATTATACTGACCAGCCTACAGCTACTACTAGCTTGTCTTGAACCTGAATATAAGCCTACTAAAATAGCGTAATCAAGAGTAGCATGTAAGTTTTCTACAACACTGTGGTGGCATCACTATATAAGTATTTTATGCAAGCACATGACCAACGTGACTACTAAGTGGCAAAAAAAGGCAGGTGTAGTTGCACCTATGAGGCATCCAAGTAACAAACAGTTGTCAGACAGATGACGAGATAAGCACAAGGGACTGCAAAAAGGCAGGACAATCTCCTGAATATACAAGCTGGCAAGGCACAAGACAACAAGATAAGCAGTATTAGGAGTGGAGGAGACCCTCCCTTTGATTGGGGAGAGTGAAAATTTTAAAATGGCATAAAAACATGAAGCATGAAGCAGAAAGACAGAAGAAAGGGGAAAATACACTTTATATATACATTTTTTTCTCCATTTGCAACAGCCTTTGCCAAAACGAGGGCTTCCAAATAACAATGTGTCAAGAGTAATGGATTTGGGAAAGTCTACAAGAACAGAGCATGTTATATTTTCATTTACTTCAAAGGTGCAGATACATACAGGTGCTTACATAATCGATAGCAAACAGCATATGGTAAAAACTAAAGCACATTTTTAAGGCTTAAAATGTCTTCCCATCGATCTAAGTTTGCCATTTTGATGCGATTATCTTCCCTTGGCTTCCAATGCTTCTCAGCTCCCTACTACAATAGAAGAACATTTCCCTCTAGAAAGGTCACAGCCAAATCACGTTAATTTTTTCTGATGAGTTGCATGATTTCAGCAATACAGATCACTAGGCAGTGGGACAGAGACAGCAAGAAATACACTGAATTTTGAAGTTATCAAGACCTGCAGGGAGAATACAATCAATTATTGCTCGGGCTAAGAATCAGCTTGCAGTAAATCCTTATGGTCTAACACTTCATCTGCTCCACACAGGTTAGACACCAGCTAAAATTACAACCGGTTTATTTCCATCACATATAGCTTAAGTAAAAAAATATTCCATCCTGCTTAATGGTTCTTTTCCTGCACTTTGTAAAAAAAGATTAGAAAGCTGAATTTTATCATTGGTAATTTCAACCTTTTAGTAGCTTCCTGCATCTTAAAGAGAACAAAATAGTTTGGCTTCTGCTGGGTCCTAGTTCCAAAGTGACCTAGGCAGAAAGCAAAAATTCAGCAGTCTGATCCAGACAGACCGAGGGTTTATATTAAAACGTGCTCAATTACTTCTAAGCCCAGAAAGTGAAATTTTGGGTAAATATTTCACTGAGACCTTCTGACACATAATTACTGACAGAGTAAATAATGCTGGGAGTTCCACGTGGATTTCAAAACAGCAGCTCTGCAAAGGCTCCGTCTTGCCTCAGCTTTTCAAAATTAGCGATACGCTTCCAGGGAAGCTGTAGACAGAGTACAGCCTGATTACACGGCCCAACTGATGCAACAGGCACGTATTATATAAAAAGATAGGTGAGTCATGGAAAGATTTTTCATGGAGCTCAAGTTCCACCCATAAAGATCGTGCAATGGAAATGTGCTCAGCAGTCTCCTCCCAAGAAACAGTTTGTGATGATTCAGCAGAGCTCGAAGAGAAATAAACTTCTACAGTCCCAAGCTAAAAAAGACGGGCGCTAGCTCACCCTTTCACACATTACCAGCCATACAGATACAGAGAGGTTTTCATTTCTGCACGTTTCCCAGTCCCCGTGCCACAGGCCCGTGCCCCACTGCCCCAGCTTCATGCTGAAAGACCCTTCCCAGAGTCAGGAGAAGGCAGAGAGCCAGACACACCTCCTCCGAGCGACACGAGGGTGCTCGGCCTCGGCTTGCGCCCCAGGAACAGCAGAACAAGACTGAGGCAAGCAGACACACCCCACCCAGGGCACCAAGGCTGACTTTCAGTGAGAAGAGTCTGCCAGGGTCTACACTTAGAAAGTCTCCCCCTTCCTCCTCAAAAAGCAGCTTGAGCAAGTAGGTTTCTAAAACACAAGTAGGGTAGGAGACTGTGATGCCCCTGGAGTAATATAACACTGCACCTTCTCTGCAAGGGCTCGTTTCAGTCCTTCACCACACGGCAAGCAAAAAGCTAGAAGAAACGCGTGCCTGCGTAGGGAAACCGATGTCACCTGCTAGCGTCCACGCTACTCACTGAGCGTGGTACCTGTGCTTCACACTGCTTCTGCACCTCAGGCTTCGTTTCCTCACGACAAGCTCATTTTCCCGATAAATTTGCCCTTCTTAAAGTCATCTTTTTTCTTAGAGCTCCTGGTTCTTTTCCTCCTGAGCCCGCTTTCACCATCACGTTCACTTCTGCACCGGTTTCTAGCTAGGGAGGAAGATAAGAATAGCCAGCCTGGAACAGGCCCGTGATTCATCTAATGCCCGCTGTTTCAGAGTAAGCGGCAAAGAACCCACACAAAACAATGAGCTGCCCCTAGCTGCATGTTTTTCTAATTGCTGATAGGGAGGGTTTTACAGACTGAAATTTCTAGTATTTTCTGAAACACTTTGTTCTCATTAACTGTACCAACTCCAGGTTTTAGAGTTATTGCCTTAAGTCTGTTGTGGATAACACCTGCCTTTGCCAAATTGCGCGACTTTGGAGCAACTTTAATATCCAATTGCATCAACACAGTTTAGATCATTTCTAAAGAGAATGAACAGATTGACAGCAGAGAACAGAACAGAAAGACAGCAGAGCTGTCTTTTCGCGACATACTTTTGTAGTTCCTTCTGTTGAGAGTACAACAGCATATAACTAATTCTGTTATGCCTGTATCTTGCTTGGAGCTTTCCAGACCACTCCACATTTTCCAGTTGTATTTTTAGTATCCCTTCAGTGCTGAGGTCAACAGCAAATCTGATCACAACCAAACTGACAGCAAGAGCAATCTGACCCATTAAGACTTTCCAGGGGAATTCAACGCCTGGACAAGAACCCAGCGGGCATCAACACAGCACAGCTCTTTCTACACCGTCAAGTAGTGTGCTAGGGGCAGATCTCCAGCGCACAACAGTTGCGCTGAAGACCTGACATTCTCACCACATGCTTCTCAGGGACTTCAGACCAGCTCTAGTTTCAGGGACTGAACACTGTTACTGGCTGGAACATGCTTTCCTGTTAAGTTTCATCCAAAAGCAGTTTAGTTTGCAGGCTCTGAGACTGCTTTTCAACATGAATCAAAGCACAGTGAGCTGAGATGATCAGGCGACGCGTTTCAAAAGCATACTGTGATCTGAACAAATAGCCAGTGTACGCTCACTCAAGGGAAGGCTAGAAAGGGACAGACACACAACTGAGACCTTCTAGGAGGACTGGATCGTGTCTTGATTTTATTATAGATCTTAAAAATAAGAAAGCAGATATACAAACCACATTGTGGCTCTTAAACTACTATTACCACTTAAGAAAGTTTTCTGTGAAGCAATCAAAAACCTACTGCACAAACATAAAAATCCAACCCCACTCAAATTCATGGGAATACTTCCTCTGCCTTCTGCAGAGCCAGAATTTTCTTCTCAATTTAGCTTTCATTATTCATATTGCTCTGCTGCATGAAAAACAGGGAGGGATTAGATCAATGCAAAATCATCATCCAAATCTTCACACAGGCTTGCCTGAGTTCAAACAAATTTTTTCTGACAAGCTTTCCATAATGTGTTTTGCTGGTTCTTTAAATGAGTACTGTGAGTATAATAGAGTCATGTACACCTGTTTTGTTTGTGATTAGAAGAAAGAAATCACACAAAGCTGCCTATCTTGACTTGTTTCACATGATATGTAGCTTAAAATCCTTTTGGTCCTGTAGTCCTGAAAATCAAAGTGAATTGAGCTTGTAGCGTATTGCACTTAATTTGTTCTCAACATTATATAAGCATCAACCTTCTTTCTAACATCCAAGAGAAGTATCATCTGTTTCACAAATTGGAAAAATGAGACATAGGAATGATCAAAGCCCTTGGAGGGAGCGGATGTCTACCTGGATGCTTTGAAAATACATTCGTCCACAAAATAAAGGGTTAGCTAGCCTTTGCAAAATTTGGCCCTGATACTGACTGTACAATATCCCGCAACTTAAAATAGACGCTTTTAAGAGTCCAATTAACTGATCAGTTCTAGGGTAACCTCACCCAACCAACTAAATGAGAGATTTTCATACAGCTAGCCTAAAAAGACTCCTGCAACGCAAGGTTTTCAGCTTTGTTTCACTGCAAATTCTTCTTTAGCTCTCTATATATCCAATTGTCCTCCTCCACAAAATAGCACCAGATAAATACAATTCTGCGTCAGTACTCACAGCTGCATACCTTACACCACGACTACTGACAGATGGTCACTGCAGAAACAGTGATGTACTACAGCGTTCATTAGCAACACTCTGGGGTTGATTACTGCTTTTCTGATGGAGGTACCATCCAGGAGGAGGTACCTTCTGGTGGAGGTACCATTCTGACCATTGCTGAGTCAGAAACACAGCAAACCTAACCGATCCATCTGCCCCAGGCAGGGCCACAGTAAACCACTGCTAAAGGAGGCATGAACTAACTCAGCTTTCTCTGCGCTGAAGCAGCTCAGGAGCATTCATACAAGCAGCTCTTCTCGCAAAGACCATGTGAAAGCAGTAACTTCTGGGAAGAGACAGTAACGCATCACTGGAAGGGGAACCAACTGCCATTATTATTTTACTGTGAATACCTTCCTGGAGGCTAACAGGTATTCGAGAACAATGTGAAGCTCTACTGTGTCGGCACACACAAACAACGGCTGTAAAAAGCTCCGAGTTACTGGACTAACTGTAGAGTCTGGGATATATGGCAACACTGGATTAGTAGCACTACCCACAGCTGCTCTATCCTGTACTCATTTCTACAACTCTAGTTAAAGACATATCAGCGGATCAACCAGAACCTGAAGGTCTGAGGAGAAGCAGCAACAGAAATGCTGTTTTATGCAGCAACAACTGCAAACATTCACGATTTCAGTGACTTGCAGGGTACATCATCATGCAAATCAGTCAGTATTTAAAGCTAACTGTGTTTATAAAAGCCTCTCAGTTGTTCTTGGAATGGTATTTCTTTTAAAGGACTTGTGGTCTTTACTTTGCAAGTGTATTTACTAAGAACTGGATGCTATTTTAAAGAGCATGTCATGTGAGGACAATAACCAAACTTCAGCCACACAAACACCGCTCTAAACCTTCGAAGTTTTGACCAAAAGCCCTAGAAAAAGCCTGAGCTTCATCCTAAGGTTTACATTTTGTGCTTTTATGTTATGGCATAAAGCCATACTATCTAGGAATCTCTGTTACTAATGCTGCTTGCTACTTTTTGATCATTTAGTCTTTTAATATCCATTAGAGAAGTTTTCCTAGGGCTAAGCAGCAAAGAGAATCACACTGTGCTAAATCTAGCCTGCAAGCCTGGATTATCACACACAACCTGTAATTCTCACTACTTACTCCAATCTACCTTGAAGATTTATTCCATTTTTAATCAACCTAGTACTATGCGATTCAAAATGAAGAGAATTTAAAAAACAGTTGCTCGAGCGTCTATCAGTTTTTCAGCTTCCGAGATGCCTGTCTGAACTATTTTTCCTGCCGTTATGTCCAAGACCCACACCACCAACACAGAAAAGCTAGCTGTGAGGGAAAAAAACCCCCAAAAAACAGCGTTGTCACACACAGTGTAAATGCAAACACAGATAAACAGAGGGAAAAATTCACACCACAGTGCTGACGCAAACTCATTCTTTGTAGGGTGTCTGCTGTTACAGAAGCGCTGTTGGTTTGACAGGACCCTGCAGCAAGACCCCACAGCAGCCCCAACATCGAAATCTGCCTTAATTTATCCCAGAGCTAAGAGAGGAACGCAGAAGGGACAACAGGAACATCCCCAGCTACTACTTAGTGGCCGTTTCAGCTCGGTCACAGTCCTCTGCGCTGCTTTAGCGCAGAACGGGGGCTGTCCTATTGAAGAAGTTCAAACTTCTCTTGTAGGGTCAGTTATAAAACCAGAATGAAAGCCTCTCTCAGGTAAAATACTGAATTCCTTTTGGTTTAACACCACATCAGCTACAGCCATCTAGTACACTTGTAAAAGGAACAAGCACTTTAAGAGAGAAAATGAATGTTTAGATTAACATCCTTTTAAAATGCAGATTTGAGACTTAACTCCAGCATCTACATAGGCTCACCTTACAAAGCGTTACTGTTATTATTTTTACAAACTGCAAACGCAAGGTTATATAACATATTCCAGAACAACCCCACCACTATGTTAATGCTCTATAGCACATTACAGAATTACTGCTCTTCCAAAACACCTAAAGCAAACACCTTCACCATGCACAGATGAGGAAACAGACACAGTGAGTCAAGTTAGTAGCTCTGATAAAAAATGAGATAAAAAAGAGAGAGAGAGAGAGCGCGCGCATGCACGTGCAACGTCTGAACTCACTAGCTACCTCCGACAAATCTGGTCTTTCTAACTAGACGCCCTTATTTCCAGCACCTTCCAGTGCATTGCTGCATCACTACTGCAAACGCTGTGGTGCAAATCACATCCAGTCTGTCTGCAAGCACAGCTGGGATAATGCACTGCGTTAGCCAGAGAGCGGCAGAGAACAACGATGCAAAATTCAAGAACCGAATGGGAGAGTTCATCTGTGGCAGAGTTTCGAGTACAAACTACTTGAGGCCCAAAACCCTGTGCAAGGAAACACACTGCACTTTCAAACAAATAGTTATTAGAACTGCAAGCAGTAAAGCACAGAAATGACTTCATGGATTTAAGTCTATTCTTCTGCCACACAGGACATAATATTAAATGAATACTGTGTTAGCATCAGCCAAAACGCTAAGCTATAAAAGCACAGAAAAGTGACTTTCAAGTTAACTTTACAGCATCCTTCTATTAACATTAATAGCCCCGATACTTCAGTTGGCTTTAAATGCACTGAACAATTAACTGTAACTGGCTTCCGCGTAAACATGCGCTCAGTAGTTCAAGCTGTCAACTCGACACTTTTTTATTTGCATTTTTATTGCATTTTACGTTGGAAAAATTACCCAACAGTAACAAAGGGTTTTTACAGCTTGTAACTGTGTATTAAAATAATTCCTTAGCCAGGCTGCAGCTCACAGCAGGAGAGACGCTGTTTCCCTTCCACGGCCAGTACATTACTCACGCCCACTACAAATACCAGCACCGCTCTACCGCTGTGCCTAGAAACGGGATTTTTAACCGGGTGTGCCCCGCTGTAACAGAACTTTTAATTGCGCTCTCCTGGAAACCTATCAAGACGAGGCTATTATCTCCAGGCACAAATCAGGCAGCGCAGCAAAACACTATGCAGCGTTTTTAGGGCGCTGCAGGAAACTCGCGGCTCCGACGCCGGCCTCGAAGCACTGCTGTACCCGACCGAGACGCCCACCGCTCCGTGCCACCCTAGCAGCCCCGTTCAACGCACCCTCCCTTGAACACGCACCCTCCGCCGGCCTTCCCCGCAGCGCGCCCGCGCCGGCCCCCTCCCCAAGGCACCTACCGGGCTGCA